TGTGCTCTCTCTGCTGCAAGTTACCTGGTTTCCCATTCATCTGTAGTGGTGCTGCCTCACATTCTAGTATGTCCTTAGACTTACTGTGCTCTCCTGCTGCAAGATACCTGGTTTCACATGCCAGGCAGCAGCCGTTGAGGCATCCTGTTTTCATTTATCCTCATAAGTCTAATTCAGAAGGACTCTGTGCTAGTAAAACCAGGTTGCTCCCCGTGGACTGGCCACATTCTCCTTGTTAACCCTCCTGTCCTGCTACTTACTGTCAGCATTAGAAAACAGGCTAAACTGAGAGAATGGAAGTGTTACAGGAAAGGCATCATTATTCTGTAGCACAAAAACAGCTGCTCTGCATTCTGACAACATCCTTTTTAGTCACACTGTATTGATCTATCCCTGCACAGATATGTATCATTCCCTCCCTTTCTTTTCAGACTGAGCTAATAGACCTGTCTACGGTGGATGTGATTCTCATCTCTAACTATCACTGTATGATGGCCCTGCCCTACATCACTGAGCACACTGGATTCTCGGGCACAGTGTATGCCACAGAACCCACTGTTCAGATTGGCAGGTGAGAGTTATTCATTCTCATCCTATCAAGTAAGATGAAGCTGTAGAGCACCTCCTTTGGTGATAGCTGTTTAATAGAGTATTATGCCAGAAGGGATTATTTCTTTTTTTTTTTTTTTGGAGACAGAGTTTCATTATGTCACCCTCGGTAGAGTGTCGTGGCGTCACAGCTCACAGCAACCTCAAACTCTTGGGCTTAAGCGATTCTCTTGCCTAAAGCTAGGACTGTAGGCTCCCACCACAACACCCGGCTATTTTTTTGTTGTAGTTGTCATTGTTGTTTAGCAGGCCTGGACCTGGTTTGAACCCACCACCCCCGTGCATGTGGCCGGCGCCCTAACCATTGAGCTATGGGCGCCGAGCTAGCAGTGGTTGTTACACCTTCTGAACATCTAACCCAAAGAGTAAGCAAGAGCAGACAACTCTGTAGATAAAGAAACGTTCGTTGGAATTGCTGCTGTGAGTAGCCTTGTTCGTCTTCTACATTGACACATACATCACCTCGGAGGAGTTCCTGGAGGCGGCTCTTCTATGCAGGTGACACTGAGTAGCGAGGTGATGTTTAGGAAGCTGGCACAGAGACGCAAGGCAAGAGCTTCAGAGAGAGGAACACAGCAGCTTTAACAAGAAGAGATTTCATTGCTTTGTTTTCAACATTTCTCCCGTTTCATTGTTTACTACAGATTATAAATGGAGACAGTCTGTAGAAAACAGGGCAATAGCTATGTAATTAGATGGTTCACATCTCCCTGCTGTTGACAGGGAAGCTCAGCAGTCTGTGGAGTAAAACTGCACAGTCTGCCCTTGACTCGGAGAAGCCTCTGCCGTCCCCTTCTCTACCCCAACCAAGCAAGCCTTTGTGATATTGGTAGTTGCTGCAAGTAACTATGGCATCATTTGGTGAGTAAAAATATTAGGTGGGATTAGCTGGGCATGGTGGCACACCCCTGTAGTCCCAGCTCGTCAGAGGCTGAGGCAGGAAGATCGCCTGAGCTCAGGAGTTAGAGGCTACAGTGAGCTGTGATTGGGCCATAACACTCCAGCCTGGGCAACAGAGCTAGACCCTGTCTCTTTAAAAAAAAAAGAAAATTATGTGAAGAAAATGACCCCAGAAAAAAACTGTTAACTTACTGTTTTGAAATAAATTAACAAATATGGTATAAGTTAGTGTCAGGACCCAAAATATAAGATCTAGGAGTTGATAGAGAATCCTGGGTTGGATTCTATTGTCTTGAAGATGTCCAACAAGATGGAAGTACTAGAAATGAATCAAAATATTTAGCATGGAAATTTAATGGGAAGGCTAGGGTTTTTGTTTAATTTTCTATAAAATGGTCCTCAAGTGTATATGCAGCAGAGAGAAAAACGATGAGATGGAGGAGAGGGAGGTGGGCAAGTCGTTATTTTTTCTGGCTACAATGTTAAAAGCGTGGTATTTTTCTAATTTTCTAATGGGTGTTCACTTTTTTGCTAAAACTCAGGCTTCTGATGGAAGAGCTGGTGAATTTCATTGAAAGAGTGCCAAAGGCTCAGTCTGCCTCCTTGTGGAAGAGTAAGGACATACAGAGGTGAGGAGCAGCCCGCACCCCTCCCTGAGGCTGTGGAGCCTTAGGCTTTGCAAACCGGTCTCGTTTGATTTCTCCTTTTATGTTAAACATTGATGTGCTTATATGACAGTTTGTCTTTTCCCTAATATACAAAAGGGTTGCATTTGATTCAACTAATGTTTTTGAGAGGCAGCTGTGTGATGAGTGGAGTTTCCAAGAACAATTAGCTCTGTCTCTGAGATGCCCAAGGTTTAATGAGAAATCAGACAATTCAGCAGGTCAGTTAGTCTCGAATGGCATGTCTGGCAGGAGACATTTGGCCACAATGCTGTAGGCACTCAGAAAAATGACCTCTGTATGCACAGGGAAGCTGAGAACAGTCCTTAGGAGATAACAGTTAAGGTGGCTCATGGAGGAAGAAAAGAACTTTTCCAGATAGAAAAGGTCAGCAAGAGGAGTCCAGGCACAGAGCTAGGGGACAGTGTTCATCATGGAAGAGTGAGAAGTTCAATGTGCGTTAGGGTGGGTAGAACAGAGAGGTGCAAGATGAAAATAAAGCGGTAAATTGGAGCAAGATGATGGAAACAGTATGTGAAGCTTGAATTTCATGCTGTCGAGAGTGGGAATGAGGAGAATGACTTGACCATGTTTGTTGTGGGAAAATAGCTCTGGAAGCAGCATGGAGGATGGATGGAAATGCAGAGAAGGGGCAGGAGGACCAAAAGTGTGACTGTTTCAGAAATGCAGGGGAGAGGACAAAAGCCTGAACTAAGCAGTGGTCGTGAGCATAAAGACAAAGAATTCTCCCTTCAAAGACATTGCTGACATAAAATTGAAAAGAACTGGTCAGAGTTGTAAAAGAGGCTGCAGTGTAAATCAGGAAGGTAAGAAGGGGGCTGAGAGGAAGCCAAGGCACAAAGGAAGTTTCAAACAATACAAGCTGGTCAGTGGTCTCAGTGCTGCCAAACTAACATCGAGTAAAATGGAGACGAGGCCCTTTGTGGAAATTGGGAAGGCACTAGCAATGGGTAAGAGGTTACTTGCCATAGAGTGCAAAACCAGAACTCAGATCGTAGTAGGCGAGGTAAGTAGAAATATGATAGAGAAAGCAAGGAGGCAGCTTGATCCCACTTCCATGGTCTCTCTCTCACCTTGACCCCAGTTAGTCTTAACGGACTGGAGTTCCTCCAACACTGGCAGCTGCTGCCCTCACCTCTAGGCCCCACCATAGGCCCAGCTTCTGATCCTGGTATTGGGCCTGAAGCAAAGGCCAGTCTTTTGACGTCTTGGACAGTTCATGTGCAGTATGCTCCTGCCCATGTCCATTTTTTCCCCAGCTAACTTGCCACTGATTTCTCTTTCTCTAGATCAATGATTTATTAGTCATCTGCTTATCTCGACTTTATAGGGGACCTTAGATTTTACATATCTTCCTTCTGTAAGAATCTGTACGTGTGTGTAGCCAGAATGTACTGTGTTTTTCTGTAGTGACTGAGAGTTGGGGCGTGTCTCCTCTCTAGGTTTCTTTGTACACATGTTATTCGATTAACTAGGTAGCACTTGCTGTATGCCAGACACTAATCTAAAAAAGTTACTTAATTTGTTCAATCCCTTAACAATTCTGAGGTAGGAGGTGGTATTACCATTTTACAGGAGAGAAAGCCACACAGAGAGGTTGAGTAACTTGCCCAAGGTCACCCACATAGTGAGTGGCCAGATCTGGATTGAACCCACACAATTGGCTAGTCTGGCATGGAGTCCCAGCACCTAACCGCTCGGGGGGTGGCGGGTGCCCCTTCGCACACACAGCTCTTCTCGTGTGTGTGAGAGCCCCTTGTATGTGCATTTTCTCCTGTGCCTTTCTTTCTCGTGTGAAGATACGGTGTTTGCGTGGCTTCATGTCAGGCAGCGTTTCCTGAACGTGCACACGTCTCAGTCTTTTTTATGTGAACAGCCTCCTGGATCTGACCTGTCTCCCAGGGAGTGCCTGGTTTCCTCCCCTGGCGTTCCCTTCTCATTCTCACCTCTCTCTTCTCTTGCTCGCTGCTGTACCATCTTCCTTTTTTTTTTTTTTCTCCTGTCCCCCATGTGGCCACTGGACATAAGACCCCATCTCTGGGGTCTCTACATCTCTGTCCTTAGAAACCTTAGGACTTTTTCTTTCCCCATGGAACATGTATGCTTCGGCTTCCCTTACTGCCTTCTTTGAAAATTCATACCCTATACTATATTCTGCTGCAAGTAATTTTGGCACACCATAAATCCCAAACCCTGAGCCAAGTCTTAAAAAGTCCCAAGTCCTTATTTTCCCTTTTCTTAAGTGACCTTGGGCAAAGTCCTTGGCACTTTTCCTTTGTCTCCTATTGTTTGTAGAATACAAATAAATAACTGGCTCACAAAAGAATGCCGTTTGGCATTAGGGAGAATTTGAATGAAGCGTGAAGGAGAGGGCCAAGGAGAGGGGGTCTGAAAGTCAGGAAATCTCCCTTTTAAAAGAAGGTGCTAGTTAAAATAAAACATTGAATTTCCTATCTCACCATTTGGCGGGCAAAAATCATAAACTGTTGAAACTTAACTTGATACCGATCAAGGAGAATGATCTACATATTGGGGAAGACCGTCTCTCATTCTGACCCTGGTCAGTATTATGATTTGGCTTTTGAGCATGAGACGAGCCATTTGACTCACAGAGAAAGAGAAGAGTCTAATTTTTGAAAAGATGACATACCAAGAATGCTATGTCTTCCCTTTCTCCTAGATAAACTCGGCCTAAACATTAGAAATATAAGAATTCAAAGAGCTATTTACCATATTTTGACATAAATGCAGCCTTTTCCCCTAAATTTTTGACGTTACACGTGGGTAGTTCGGCTCTGGAACAGTGGAGCCCAGTGGGTCTCCTAGGACCGCTGCACTGTCCTGCCTGGGTCCATGCAGCACATGGGGTTCCATTTCACGGGGATGTGGGATGAGGTGGGAGCAGGCTGGAGCAGCCTCTGCTGAGTGCCGCCATCAGGGAAGGAGGCCTGGCGGGGCCACTGCAGCTGTGCTGAACAAGGGCCAAGGAGCAGAAAAGATCCTCTAAACCAGGCGTCCTCAAACTACAGCCCGCGGGCCACATGCAGCCCACCTAGGATATTTATCTGCCCCACCGGATATTTTAGTGACCATTGCCTGTCCTGCTTAGCAGCTGACTGGTCCCAGGGCCTGCAGTGCGGCCCTCCAACGGTCTGAGGGACAGTGAACTGGCCCCCTGTTTAAAAAGTTTGAGGCCCCCTGCTCTAAAGTAAGGATCTCAAGTTGCATGGCTACAGGACCAGGGAAGGGAAGCACAGGAGTAAGGTGGGCTGGTAGGTACTGTGGGTCAGCAGCTCCTCTAAGGGGGCAGCTGACACGCAGCTTCAGCAGATTGCAGCCATATGCGAATGTGAACCCCTTGCAGCCAAATCGTCCTTTTCTATTTTAAAGGAAGTTCAAAATCAGGATGTTGTATATATGATTTTTTAAAAATCTTTTTTAAGGCCCAGCGCCTATAGCTCAACCGGCTAAGGCGCCAGCCACGTACACCTAAGGTGGCGGGTTCGAATCCCCAGCCCGGACCCGCCAAACAACAATGACGGCTGCAATCAAAAAATAGCCAGGCGTTGTGGCGGGCGCCTGTGGTCCCAGCTACTTGGGAGGCAGAGGCAGGAGACTCGCTTGAGCCCAGGAGTTGGAAGTTGCTGTGAGCTGTAATGCCACGGCACTCTACCTAGGGGGACAGCTTGAGGCTCTGTCTCAAAAAAAAAAAAAAAAAAAATTTTTTTTAAATATTGGCTCATAAATTAAAATAAAATCCTATATGATCCAAGCAAAATACCTCTATAAGCTGGATTTGAGCCTCAAACTCAATTTTTGACTGATACCTTCCACAGACAGACTCATAATAGAACTTGGTCAAGTGCCTAGAATTAATACATCTTACTTACGTTACTGATAAGACTATCAACCAAAGAAAACAGTAAATTAAGAATTTTCAAACTCATTGGCCAAAAGAATCTGACAAATCCCCTTAAATCATTTGGAGTTAGTTTGAATTAGCATTTGATTTATTATTAGGACATATACAAAAAAAAAAACAACTATTACTCTTGCTTTTTGGCAGCTGTATAACTTCCTGCCTCAGTTGACACTACTAGAGATTTATTTCAAAGAAGTTAGCCATCCTTCTTCCTAATTTTGACATTGCAGTTTATGCTTGAAAAGGAGATGAATTTTGAAGGGAAGGAAAAGGAGAATCCCTCAGTAAAACCTTGAGTCTCTCTGGCTTTCCCACACTCACTTCAGAGTTTAGGTTTTTAATGGGAAAATTTAAAGCAAGCTATTCCACTTAAACAACTGACCTAGCCTCTAGATTTTGGTCTTTTTTTTTTTTTTTAATAAAGCTAGCATTTTTTATAAGATTAAAAATCTACATTATAATTCAGGATAAATCATTGCAAGAAGATATTATTATCTTCTCATAAGCAGTAAGCAATTAAGCATTAATATATCCCTGCCTGAATTTTAATGCAATTTTTAGTACTTAGAACTTAAAATGTGGATTCATACCTTACAGAAGATTTAAAAGAAAGCTGCATATTAAAGATGAAGTTCCTCTGCTCTGACTCCTTGGATATGTGTAGAGGAATTTTTTAGGTCTAACTCTAAAATAGAAGATTATTGAAAAGTACGGGCTTAGTGGTCTAATAGACTGGTGTTTGAATTTCAGATCTGTTTCTTAATAGCTGCAATTTATTTCTTTTAGGCTCTATTTTCTCATTCACAAAATAGGAATGATACCCACAACTTGATAGGGTTTACGAGGACAAAATGCGTAATACGAATATAGTTCTTAAAACAGTGCCAGCACATAGTAGGTATTTAGTACATACTACCATCCTTATCCCCTTTGCTGGTTACCTGGTTTCCATAATCCCCTTGCATGAAGGGGATTGCATCTGCCTTTCACATCCTAATTTATCCTCAAACACTGCCTATCCTGTTGAAGGCAGGGTGGTGGTGTGGACCAGAGGAAAACTGTTTCATACCCCACCTCGGCCTTAGTTGGCACTGTCATGCAGACTCTTTGAGACTCAATATCCTTTTCTAAGGAGAAAGTAAGAGAATTAAATTACATTATCTCTAAGTCCACTGATGTTATAGATGTTTGGTTTTTTTTTGTTTTTTTGTTGTTTTTTTTTTTTTGCCGTTTTTGGCCGGGGCTGGGTTTGAACCTGCTACCTCTGGCAGATGGTACCGGCGCCCTACCCTTTTGAGCCACAGGTGCCGCTTGATGTTATGGTTTTAAAAGATGTCCAAGGGAGAGTCTCCTTGAAAGCAGGTCTGCATGGAGTGGCAGTGCTCCGATGGAGTAATCACAGCTCATTCAGCTTTGTGATGCCAGACACTTCATCAGTTCTTTTCACTGAGTTTATTAGCTTCCAAGCCACTAATTCATGATGACCAATTCCCAGGATGGTGAGTGACAAAAATCCTAATTAATTACTTTATAGTAAGAAATCTGACTGGCTCAAGAACCACAATGGTTCATCTATATAGGACACTCTGTTCTGGTGAGGAAGTCCACTTAAGACATCAAATTACAGAGTAAGAGTCTTTTCTGTGACCCTAGAATTAGAGCAGAGATAGTTTAGCTGCTCTCAAGAGCTGTTCCCATCAGGCTCCGGTAGCCTAAGCAGTTGCTTTTGTTCCTCGTGGAGATAGTTTGGTCTAAAACATACGTCCAGGTTTGTCAACAAATTTCAGATGAACATTGAGAAGTGCTTGATTTTTGAGGCTCCAGTTTTGGTAAACTCCAAATAGATCATCACTCTGCTAACACATTCCCACTCTGCCATACCCACATGTATGGTAAGCACTTTTTCCTGTAATGGGAGGGATATTTTCTGATCCCTAAGTTCTTTGTATTCTGCTCTTATGTTAATTTTGTTCATTTATTCATTCAACAAACACTTAGAGCCCGACCAGTGTTTTACTTGTCAGCTTTCAAGTGGTCCTTGAGGACTTAAAAGATTTACTCTTTAACAGAAACATCACAGTCTTTGCTGCTTGTGTTTGTAGGATGGAGGAAGAGGCAGCAGAGCTTTGGCGTCATGTCAGAGCTCTGGGAAAGAAGTTGTAGGCACTTAAGTGTGATAAGAACAAAACAAAACAATGAAATCTTTTAGAAAGTACTTATGAAACATTTAGACTCTGAGAACTTGACTTTGATAAATTAGAAAGCCAGAAAAAAAAACAGAACTAGTTCCCTCTGGGTTTCCTTATCCTACTTATCCTAAATCAGCCAATAATCCTAATGGCTTTAAATGGCTCTGTAAATGCCTCTCTATAATTATGACCTCAAGAAAGCATAAGGAGAGTTTTAGGGAAAGCTAAGTTAGACAAGATGTTAGGAGATAAAAGGAAGTAATGACAAAGTAAATATCAAGAGAGAATAAAAGAGAATATTAGTAAGGATCTTACGGGTAGAGTGTAGAATTCAGAGGACTTTAAACTGATTTGTTGAGTAAGTGCGTGCCTGACATTATAATAAATTTGTGGGAAAATGTACAAAAAAAAAAATGAAGACATAATCCCATATTCAAGGAGCTTGCCAAGCAAAGGTTAGATTCTAAGTGATGAGAGTTAGGCCTGACTTGGCAGGCTGAATAGGGTTTGGGTGAGAGAAGAGAGACCATTGTAAGACGGCAGGGGCTGGTGGAGATGGAAGTCCTGCTCTTTCATAACCTAAGCACCAGAGTGACAGCCCATCACTTTTGTCATCTTCTCTTCACTTGGTCCAGCCACTACTCAGGGCAGTAAATAGCAGAGGTGGAGAGCCTGTCAGAAGGGCCTGCCACAACCCCTAAACTGAGGAGGTCAGAACAGAGTCAGTTGGAAGTGCTTGTCTTTCTTCTTGGGGCTCCCTGTTGAGACCCTCCTTGATTTTTTTCACCAGCTCTCATGCTGTTGTGGAGCTGACCTCAGAAGTTCATTGACTCACACTGTGTAGTGAATCTTTGGAAAGTCACACTTCATTCAGTTCTGTCCCTCATTCTTTTAGAGTAGATGATAAAATGTTTTTCTAATGACCCGTTTTTATTGATGTGTTTGTTTAAAGGGGTGTTTCTGATGCTGGTCTTCAGGGTCACAAACCATGCTTCATTGTCCTCTTCTATGCCAAGCCCCATTTGTGTTCAACTCCGTCCTTTTCTGGAACTTCACAGGCCCATGAGTAAAGTTTATTTCACTTACCTTTTGTGAACAAGGTAGAGAATGAGAGATGTCATATGAAAACGCCCTATATTAAAATGTGTGCAATAGATCCTAGAACAACTACCAAGGAAATAAGATGGCGAAAAATCATGAAGTTAAAAGGCTGCATGAGAAAATACTTACTTAGTACAAAAGAAAGTAGTGAAGGAGCAATAGAGGGGCAAAAAATACATGAGACCTACCGGAAACAAACTGGACTTGTCAGATGGAATCCACCTCGCCAGCAACAACCCCAGCTGTGTGTGGAGTAAGCAGGCAGATGGCAGTGATGGTCAAGCTGGATTGTTTTTAAAAATCTTGTTGTATACTGCATAAACAAAATAGAAAAACTATAGAAAAAAATCAAATCAAAAGGTAATTTTTTTAAAGATCAGCAAAATTGACAAACCTTTACTAGACTAAGAAAAAAGAAAAAAAAATCAGAAATTAAAGAGAAAACAGTATTTGGGTGGTGCCTGTGGCTCAGTGAGTAGGGCACCAGCCCCATATACCGAGGGTGGCAGGTTCAAACTTGACCCCGGCCAAACTGCAACAAAAAAATAGCTGGGCGTTGTGGCGGGCGCCTGTAGTCCCAGCTACTCGGGAGGCTGAGGCAAGAGAATCGCCTAAGCCCAAGAGCTGGAGGTTGCTGTGAGCTGTGCGACGCTATGGCACTCTACTGAGGGCAACAAAATGAGACTCTGTCTCTTAAAAAAAAAAAAAAAAGAAAAGAAAATAGAAAACAGTACTACCAACCTTATAGAAATAAAAATAATCATAATTCTCTGAACAACCATATGCTAGTAAATTGAACTCAGATTAAATGGACACATTACTATAAAAGAATGCCCTAGAATGTGAAGAAATTTCACCTAGAAAAAATAAACAGCAGTGTTCACCTAGCAAGTGACTGTGGTGCGTTTCCAGGCTGCTGCCTTCTCCTCTCAAGGACGCGGTGGAAGCGTCAACCTGGAGAAGATGCTACACGATGCAAGAGGTCAACGCTGCCCTCAGTAAAATCCGGCTGGTGGGATATTCTCAGAAAATCGTGAGTGGTAACATCATTTTTGTGATTCTTGAATACTTTGAATTCATATTGTTGTTCATTGGAAGGACCTTTTAGTTCCCTTTATAAGCCAGTCAGCTGCTGAGAACCTTCTGCTAGTGTAAGGTGAAAAGACAGAGCAGCTTGTTTTCCTGCACCCCTCCCCCTGGTGCTCTTCCCTAAGGCCCTGTCACCCTCATCAGCTGACGTCCATTGCCCAGCATGTAATGAGTCAGGAGAAGGCGCCTCACCCTGGTCACATCAGAACAGGGGACCCAGCTTCACAGATGTTGGAGAGTTGAAGCAGGAAGCAGAGAAACAATTTAGCGAGTATGGCTAAACTGAGCTGTGACCTAAATGGTAAGCATTCCCACGCCTCTGTCAGTCTCTGCCCATAGAACCTAACGGAAAATGAAAGAGGAAAACCAGAGTATCTGACTCTTTGGTCTACTTGGCAATATATTCTCTCTGCCTTTTAATGAGTGGGTCCCAGATGCCATGTGGACATGGAGAGAGCTGAAACCATCCAGTGACAGACGAGTCAAGCCACATGGGCTCCATTGTCCTTGTTTCTTTTAAACTTTCTGGTTTGTTTTAAAATAATTTGTTTTTAAACTGAGAAGGGCATTTTAGTTGTTCTTCCCTGCAGACTTAACTGGTGTCACTAAAAGCTCACGACACATCTCCGTGTAATTGTTTTCCAGGAGCTTTTTGGTGCAGTCCAGGTGACTCCTCTAAGTTCTGGCTATGCCCTTGGAAGCTCCAACTGGATTATCCAGTCTCATTACGAGAAGGTATCTTACGTCTCTGGGTCCTCCTTGCTCACCACACACCCCCAGGTAATTATAAATTGTCTTTTAATAACTCAGCTTTTTGGTTATTTAACTCAAACTCACGATGTATCCAGAGTACCATCAGCCATTTTTAAATCTTCCTAATTTTGTTTTCTACAAATACTCTTTAGAAAAGTTAAACTATTATAACAGTGAAGATTGCAGTTTTCTCTGAAAGAACCCTTTTGCCTTTAGAATCACCTCTAGGGTTCTGAGAGATCCCCCGGTCCTTCCATAGCCTTATGGGGGACACAGGCGGTTATTCATTTACTCAGAAGATATCAACTATTTAATATTTAAACGGCCAAGTGTCATGTACTCAGGTATTAGGGATTCAGTGTTGGCCAGCGGGCAAAGTCCCCAGTCATGGGTCTTATGTTCAGTTGATAGAAGGGACAGGATGGTGTACAGAAGATAAATAAAGGAGCAGAGTCATTTCAGATGTGAAATGTGATGCAAGTACTGGAAACAACAAAACAGGGCTGCTTCTGGGGTGACAGACGCTAGTTTAGATTGGATGGCCAGGGAAAGCCTCTGGGAAGAGCTCATTTGAACTGAGACCTGAAGAAACAGTCCTCGTGAAGCTGTGAGGGTTTGTATTACAAAGAGACGGCAGGGGAAGGCCCCTAAAGCAGAACAAGCCGAGCGTGTCTGAAGAGCAAACAAGGCCATTGGGATCCCGGCATGCTGAATACCATCAGCGTGATGTCCAAGAGAGCAGCAGACACCGCTTCATGGAGGACTCTGTAGGCTGTGATGGAGAATCGGGGTTTTATTTTTAGGGGAAACAACTGGAAGGTTTTAAGTTAGTCATTCATTAGTCATATCTGGCAAGAAGCCAAATTACTCCTTTTTTAGGTATTTGTAAAGAATTTATTCATTTCATAAATCCTGGGTTTCTGCACGTTTGTAAGGAGAAGTGGGAACGTTAGATAATGAGCTGATGAAGGTCTACATAGATAACTAGTGGACATCCAGATCCCGTTAGTTATTGCTGTCATAACCTCAAGATTTTGTTGTCTTCATAGTAAAACAGAGTTTCACATAGTGAAACTTAGAACTGGGTTGACTGGGCCTTTCTCTTCTTATCTTTACCAATTTCAAAAATGTCTGCGTCTTGCCAGCATTCTCTTAGCTGCAGCTGGGCCGTCCCGTTTTAGTGGAGGAGAGCACGTTGGTCTGGAGCAGGAGGACGCGTCTGTGCTGCCGTTCTGCTTTGTGTTCAGACCACCTTTCATCTCAGGGTCTGGGAGGGACAAGGTGCTATTTTTCCTGCAGCTAGCAGAATTCTGGGCCCTTCCTGCTTACTGAAATCAAAAGCCCATCAATGTCATCATAATCTACTTCACTGAATCAAATTTTTTATTGGTAGCTTCTATCATTCCTGATATATTCTTCTATAAAAGACAGAAAGAGGACTTGGCTGCCAACTCTTCCAATTTGTCCTGCTTAGATCAAAGCCTTTACAGTAGTACTGATGTAACTTCCAGTAAATTATTCTTACAAGGTCCATAAATTTAAAGAGAAAATGAGGTCTTGAAAGTAATGAGCAACATACCTAAGTAATTAATTCTAATTTCCAGCTGGCAACCTGTGGTGTATGTAAAAAGGAAAAAAAATTAGATTTTCCTTTACCCATATAATTGGATTCTATATTGAATTAGCAGGGATAAGAAAAGTTTGGGTTTGAAAAAAACTCAATATTCTACTGCAGAGGTTAGCAAACTATGGCCTCGGGACCAAATGTGGCCCACTGTGTGTTTTTGTGAGTAATCATTTGTTGGAAAACAGCCACGCTGAGATGTTTATAGATTGTTTTTGGCTCTGTATGCACTGTAATGACAGAGTTCTACTTTAAACCTTGTAGACCCCTGGTCTGCTTGAGTGGAATCCTCACTAACTAGGAAGAATATCACAGGCTGCTATAATAATCAAATAAGTATGGGGGAATGAAGTTTTGATAAGCCTGAGGCAGTAAGAACAGAGAAACAAGTTAAAACATTGGAAGATTGAGGGTGGGGTGTTTTGTTTTGTTTTGTTTGATTTTTCAGACAGGGTCTCACCCTGTTGCCTGGGATCAAGTTATTTTGAGAATCAAATTATACAGTTTAGGCTGGATGCTGTATAATCAAATTATACAGTTTAGTGCCTTGTAATCCTGGCACTCTGGGAGGCCAAGGCAGGTGGATCGCTTGAGCTCAGGCATTCAAGACCAGCCTGAACAAGAACTAAAAGTAGAATAAACTAGCTGGACATTGTGGTAGGTGCCTGTGATCCCAGCTACTCAGGAGGCTGAGGCCAGAGGATCTCTTGAGCCCAAGAGTTTGAGGTTGCTTTGAGCTATGATGATACCATAACACTCTATGCAGGACAACAGTGAGACTCTGTCTCAAAAAATATACACATATATAAATTACACAATTTAGTGATTCTCAAAGTGTGATCTCCAGCCCAGTAACAGCAGCATCTCCTCGGGACTTACTAAAAATGCAAATGCCTCTCCCAGACCTGAGTCAGAAACTCTGGGAGTAAGCCCAGCCATCCATTATCCATCCTGGATATTACACCGTCCAGGTGAGTCTCGTGCACACTAAAGTTTGAGAACTGCTGCTGATATGTGTGTTTTGAAAAAATAAAGCATTGTAGAAATTTGAGATGCTTTAAAGTGAAATCCATATGAGATGCATAATAGAATATATGGTGTATGATTTCATGAATTTTGATATGATATAATCACTGCCTCAGTTGAGGTATGTAGCATGGAACCTGTTCATCTCTCCTTGTGCCTCTCCCTGTCAGTCTCTACCCCTCAGGCAGCCGCTGATCAGTGACAGACGTTTCATTACACAAGATAAGAGAACCTGGTGATGGGTTGGACATAGAGCAATGTTACATTTTTATGTCCCTGAACTATTTATAGATAGCATTCCTTTTTAAATTACTAAGCATAATTCTCTGTTGTTTTTCAGCCCATGGACCAAGCTTCTCTCAAAAATAGTGACGTTCTTGTTCTGACGGGGCTCACGCAGATTCCCACTGCAAACCCAGACGGCATGGTGGGAGAGTTCTGCAGCAACCTAGGTCTGTAACCATCTCCTATCTTGGTTGGATGCTGCATCTTGAATTCATGGATTTATTTTTCGATACCTTGCTCCTGTAGTATTTTCCTCCTCCCTTCACAGAGGCCCCTTGTGAGGGATTTCTCTCCCCTTTCCAATATACTTCCACCATTTCCGCCCACCCTTCTGAGCCTCCTGTCATCAGTAAGAGCAATTCTCAGGTGACCTGAAGCTTCAGTGAGAAGGGCTCTAAGTTAGAATCTTTAGTATTTCTGTACAATAAACACTCAACATCTTCCCACAGACAGAGTTTATTTACTCCCCTTGCTTTTTGGTGGGATTTTGGGGTGGGGAGGTTGTTTGCAGGGTAGTAGTTACCAAAGGAGGCAAGAGTTACAGCCCTGCTTTGCAAATAATAGCAGAGAAATGACTGTTACACTTTGAATCCACAGCATTAATGCCATAAGCAGATGTATTTTTTTCCCCACTGATATTTGGTTGATTTTGTTTCCTTCTTTGAGGAAAGACTAAGTTACGAGATGTTTTTTTTTTTTACCTGGAAGAAATTGATTTTCCTTTGGACATAATTATCAACGAAATGTAGAAATCATGCCTTGTAGAAAAATATTTTGGTTACTGTCTTCGTCTTCTTGGGCTGCCATACAGAATACCATAGTTCTGGAGACTAGGAGGTCTTAAGATCAGAATGACACCATGGCCGTCTCCTTTGAAGGCCTCTTTCCTGCTCGGAGGTGGCCTCTTTCTTGCTGAGTCCTCCCGTGAAGAGAGGAAGCATTCCAATGTCTCTTCCTCTTCCTATAAGGGCACAGATCCCAGTATGGTAGCTCCACCCTCATGACTTCATCTAACCCAAATTATCTCTCCAAAGTTCCTACCTCTAATATCATCACATTGGGGGTTAAGGTTACAACATACGAATTTGTGGGGGAACACAGACATTCGGTTCATAACAGTTTACCAAAGTGGAGTTAATAAGCTCAGACCTTCACCTCTAGCAACTTAAAGTATTACCTCTGCTCTAGGAAAGAGAAATAGTCATCTTCTGATATTTATATGGAAGGCACTGTCCTTTGAAATTTCACTTAGCCATGCTAATAATCACAGTCTGTTTTTGTTCTTTGCTATTAAGTCAAAGGTCATTTGTTTTTACCTTGGGAAAAGTACTGGACTAATCTCAGGTAAAATCCTTGGTTTGGGCTCGGGGCCTGTGGCTCAAGCTGCTAAGGTGCCAGCCACATACACCTAAGGTGGTGGGTTCGAATCCAGCCTGGGCCCACCAAACAACAATAATGGCTGCAACCAAAAAATAGCTGGGC